AACTATTCCTAATAAATCATGAATATAAGCAACATCAATTTTTTTTATAATTTAGGTTTTATTTATTGTATTTGAGCTTTCTTTCTTCAAAGCAAATTTATTCTTTATTACAAGGCGATTAAGCAAGTTATGACAATTAAAACTAAAAATTCTAATTTTAAAATGGATGTAAGCATAAATATAAAACGAAATTATCAGTTATGGTTCTTTTTTAATCCACAAAGTTTATTGAAGCAAGTACTATTTTATTAGTTGAATTAAAGAAAAAGGTTACAAGTTTGCACAGAGTAGGAGAAACTTGGTGGCACATTTCAGTATCAAACAAAATTGTACAAGTTTAATGGATGCACATTTCATGGCATATTTAAGGCTCGAGAGATGTTGCTCACTCATGAGGGATTCACTCACTAAGAGTGTGCTTTAAAATATATTTGAATTTTTAACATATATTCAGAATAAAAAGTGTGAGTGAATGAATAGTTATAGAATATTTAACACATTTAATTAAAAAAAAAAAGATGAAAACTATTGATGCAAGTGTTATTTGATACAATTATATTTCTAAAGTATATTGAATATTATATGATAAATTTATCCTTCTAATATTTTTAATATGTATTAAATAAATAAATAAATGTTTTGTGTTTAAATTAATAAGTAAATAAAATTTTAAAAATAAATGAATATATGTATTGTTATAAAAAAAATTTGTTATGGCCTAAATATATAACAAATATAAAATAATCATATAAATAAATATAAAATTATATTTAAAAAATAAATAAATAAATAAAATTTCTCATTAGAAGAAATATATCATGCTGGTTTCTTACTAAATAATGGCATTACATTAAGACAGGGTTAGGGATTCTATTATACATTAGCAATCTTATAATTTTAAAAAAATGTCACAGGTACTATGAGAAATTTAAAATTTTTCATTAGTATTCTAAAGTTGAAATGCTAATGCTACCCTAAGGTAACATGATACTGGCATCTGCAATGCAGCATCAAATCATCGTTTCTAATCTGACTGAACCATACTCGATGCAGCTTATTAATTTGGGTGCTCCTACAAAACTTTAAATCTATTTCCACTCTAGTGTCGTTCATCCACTCAGCAGAATTTAATCTCTGACACTTTCAATTAAGACCTGACATCATTACATTGGATAAACAATCTATATTGATCGGTAAATATTACTCTATTGGCCAGCAAGACTCCAAAACAAAAACAAAAAAAAAACTGCACATCAGTTAGAACAATCCTACAAAATGGACAAACAGAAAATGGAAATTGCAGTAGGTTTTCTTTACCAACATTCCTAGTGGCAAAACAGTACCTGCACCTTTTCATTCTTCTCGGTCTTAGTTCAGGCAGAAGGCCATGTGTATCCTGCCATCATCCTTCTTGTAACAAATCTTCAGTTAACTGTGCCTTCTAACAACCACTCCTTCAGAACATGCTTTAATCCATTTATTTTTCTATCAGCTTCCTGCAGTCAACCAATACAGGTGCAATGTGTAGGAAAGGAGAAGACTAATGAGCGAGATGTTCTCAACTAATAGTTCTGCACGCTACATATGTAATTGGATTTACCATTCAGTTGGAACAACTATTTAAAGAACTCACCTTATGAAGTGTCGCAACTCTTGTTTCTGCATCACTTATTTGAGATTCTATTGCTCCCTCAACTTGCAGAAGAAGCTTTCTATGTGAAGCCTCTGCATATTTACGAGTGCAAATAATATCACCAAGAAAATAAATAACAAATGAACTCATAACAAACTTTAGAGGCAGATGGCTTTTGGAACATGTCTATCCATAACAAAAAGAAAACCTCAGAAAACATTCTTTTAAGTAAATTTTTGTGGATTCAATATCATGATACAACATATATCATGCATTCAAATACAGGATGATACTAGAAAAGAATGGGTCCAGTGAAATGCTAATGCAAATGATGTTTAGTGCAGGCAAGTGTATGTGCATATTGTACTGTGTAATCCTACCACAAGACAGAAAATATCTACAGAATGAAGCTGCATGATCACTACAGTTGGCAAACGCCATAAGACAGGTGACTGATGTTTATCACTGCAACTCAAGGAAACCAATAATTTGTCATGGAGATTATTTCAAGAAAACAACCCGTCAAAAGAAAAACTTAAAGAACCGCCATATCCCTTTAACAGGCATTACATGTAATGCATGATCTAGTGCTCAATCATGTTCACTCTGGTATTTATGTGTGAAAGACACCAGATTTATTTTCACTTGAAATGCTACTTGTCCATCACTACCAACTTTGGGACTTGACTTAGTGCACCAACTTCTTAAAGTTTTAAATGAGACTTACTTTGCCTGTCCAAACTTCCTTTTAGCTCAATTTTGTATGCCTCGATTTCCTCAAGAGTGCTCCTGCAGCCTAGGAGATGCTGATCAACCTCCTCCTTGAACTTGTTGTGCATGAACCTCAGTCTTTCTTGTTGCTCTGTGTCACTTCAGCTAATCAACTAGAGGAAAAAGAAATGAAAAGGCAGAGAATAAAATATACCACATGATTTACAATGTAGTAAAGTCAGTTTTAACTAAAACACAAAGCCAAAGAGAACTACAATTGGCAAATGAGGCATCTTGCAGGCCTATGTCTACTCCTCAAGTCCTTGGTCATATCCTCATTAGGTTTCAAAATTGACATTGTATGTAAAATTTAATTGAGACATTTTATCTCTTTATGTCAGAAAATTGCATTTGAAGTTTATACCTTGGAATTTTGACTCCAAGCATTTACCCTTGGATTTGCCAATGCCAAGGAACTTCCCTCTGAAAAACAGTGTCACAGGTAAGGCTTTTGATAAAAAATGTCATTGCTTCATCGCAATGCAAAAACTTACAGATCTGCTTCCATCTGAGATTCAGCATGTTGTAGCTGCAGATGTACTTTTTCTCCAGCATCCAAAAGTATCTTTGAGCTTTTTTTGCATATTTGTGACCTTATTTTAGATTTGAATTTTTCCAGAAGTCGCACCAGTTGGCACACAGACCTATTATATGGCAGGAATGGAACACAGTTAATGTGAGCAGAATATAAAACGTTGATACAAAAAAAAGAATCATTTAATCCTAGAAGGGATAGACCTAGCCAACTCATCCTCTGGATAATGCTCCAAGATTTCATGTAATCCAGTAGCTTCTTCAATTCCTGAATTAGATTATGGGAGGGGAGATCACTTGATCTTAGATATAAAATATGTAAAAGATAGTGTTTTTTAATTACTTGAAGTGCCAACATGAGGTGGTGAGGATAGGCTGCTTTTGCTTATTTTGGTATCTTTTAGGTAGTTTACCCTTTTCATCCGATGAATTCCAACAGGAGATTCAGGAAGACTACCAGAGTTCAAGAACCATTCTTCAGATGATCTGTAATCTGCACATGGAATTCAAGATTGTGCATGCTATTCTAAACACAAGAAAATCAACAAAGATTTAAAGAACCATACAAATTATCATAGGAACAAATCAATTCTCTAACATGTTCTACAAACACTCATTACAACTCTTTCTACCATGTTCTCCAAACACATTGCACCAGATTCCTGATATTTCTACTAAACAATAAAATTGACAATCCAAAATATATAGTTGCACCGACTAGATTAACTTCCAACAAAAAAAGGAAAGACAAATCACAATAAGAGGTTACCAACCTAAAACCACTGGCTAATATCAAGCACAACAGAACAAGTAGTAAACAATCATGACAATATCTCACATCTATATTTTCTCTAGACAAAAAAAAAAATATTGAGGCATTTGTTACCTACTATCTTAATGATATGCATCTCCATTCAATTTTTCTGCTCTATCATTAATGTGCCTGAAAATAACTGATTAATACTAGTGTCAATCAATTCTTAAAATAACATCACAATTCTTTGGTGCAGACCTAAATGGCTGGCCAACCTTAAAATACAATATTTACTGCCTATTGCAATTACTTGCTACTGATAATCATATCATAGTAGAACAACCAAGGCAACATCCTCATCAGGACAAAGCACAGCCAACAATATTTACACTAGATTTGAGGAGCAGAAAGCATTTAACTAAATAAGGATGAAAAATGGATATCACAACTTATCATCTAATATGTCCATGTAATAATAATGAAAAGGAACAAAGTAATGAAATCTTATACAAGCTGAAATTTAATGTCATATTATGTTCAATTAAGCATGGAACAGATATGGACCAGACAGGCATGTACACATCTCTGACCACTTTTCTGGGTCAAATTTTGACTTTTGTAAAGATATGGAATGGAAATGGAAATTACCAACCACATTTTCTACAAACGGAAAGAGATACAAATCAAATACTATCCACAACTCCATTCGAGATAAACACTATATGCATGTATCAGATGTTAGCCAAAGCCATATACCATATATGTTCCCACTGAGCTTTTAAGATACCATGCAGAAATAATCTATAGAACCTTTCACAATGAACAAATAAGTCAACAACATTTTTTAATGGAAGGCTTATGGCTTGAGGAAAGGAAAAAAGAAGAAAAAGATACCATAACTAGAAAGAATTGGTCAAGTGATCTCTTTCTAGAAGGATTAACGTAGGCGCATCTAATATTTGAAGTTTTAAACCATATCTGGATTATCTAATATCCTGAAATAACTATAACCCAGGCAAAATCTGTACCTCATCCAGGAAATTTTGGATGGCAAATCTCAATCAGATACATTTTACATATCCAGCTCAACTACACACACACACACATATATATATATATATATATATATATATATATATATATATATATATATATATATATATATATGTATATATATAT